TCAATATGTTAATGGCTGCAATACATAATGATGTATGTATGAGATAGCTTCAAAACCCTAGAAATCAATGATGTATGTATGAGATAGCTTCAAAACTCAACATGGATAATAAATTCATGATCAAATGTGAAGAATCTTGACAAAATCATGCATGCATGTATATCTAAACTTCCAATTCATTATCTTTAAGCTTATTACTTGTATGTAATCATATATCTTCTTGAATTCACATCTTTGATGACTTAAACTCTTGAATTATTGTTCAAACTCTTACCTAAGGCCTTCAATCAAGGAAATTCTTTTAGAACTTGAGCTCTACTTTACTATTCTTCAATCTCCTTGCAAGATTCTTCAAGTTTAAGCCTCTCTCTTTCTAAATAACTCTCTTCCTCTCTCCAGAATGTATTTTTAGCAAAATCTTAGTTCAATTATGAGTTAAACTCTCAACTTAACATATATATAAGCTTATTTAACTCAAGGCACTAATTAGGGATTGAGCTAGTTAATTGAGCTTAAGGCTTAACTAAACAAAACTTAGTTTAATTAATTTAATCTAATTAATTTAATTTGAATCAAATTTTAATCAAACTTTCCATTAGGCTCTAAAAATTATGCCATTCACAATAAATTAATCAATTCTGGTTTCTGACGCCATTAAGGCCTTAAATTTCAGATTATCATAGAAATCACAACAGATATTCCCACAGCTAACAGATATGAATCCAAAAATCTTATAAAACACATAAATTGCATTTGAATTCACACTAAACACATAAGCACATCAAAATTAAAGGATTAAAGACATAATATGTGACATGGTTGTCACAAGCATCCCCCATTTAAGAAGTTTGGTCCTCCAAACTTGCATTACTTTGAATTGGAAATAACTTGGGGTACTTTTGCCTCATTTCATCTTCTTTCTCCCAAGTTGCTTCCGTGCCATAGTATTCCTTTTATTTGACTTTTACCATAGGGATTGCTTTACTCCTAAAACTTGATTTCAATCAGTTCAGTCTCAGATTTTAGCTTGTGCTATGATTCCACCTATTTTGAAAGTGTGTTCTAGAGTTTTACATTCTATGTCTTGGGATAGTTATTAGAGTTCTATAACTCCTGTTCTAGATAGTTCTACATTAGTTTCACAACACCTTCTAGTGGTAAGGTTACATAGTCTAGTAGCTATCATGGTTATTTCCAAGGGTACTCTGTATAGTAGTTCTGGTGGTGGCAAATGTGGTCCTAGTGGTGGTGGTGGTGGTGTTAATATTCGTGATAATTGTGGGGGGCATGGTCGAGATTCCTGTGGGTGGCCTCATTGTGGCTTGAACAACTGTACATGTGAGAAATGTTGGGATCTGATTGGTAGGCCTCCTCAGTTTGCTAATGCCTTGACTTCTGACTCTATTGATTCTCCCTCACTATCTTCTTTAGCTTTGGAGAAAACTATAATTGTAAGGTCCCGGTATCCCACATCGAGAATGGAGAAGGAGTTCCTGGACTATAAAAGCAAAAACCTAGACCCTTATACAGCATCAACACCTTTTCCCGGGTGGGGAAATCCCTAATAGAACACCCTAGTTAAGCGTGCTTAAGCTGAAGTAGTTCTAGGATGGGTGATGTACTGGGAAGAACAAATTTGTGCGGGCATAGCCCAAAGCGGACAATATTGATGACATGTGAAAGGTTGGGATATTACAATAATTGTCTTAGAGGAAGAGTATTCTAAGTTTCATTCAGGCATCCTTGCTGGCATTTCTTTCCATTGCATCATTAGCTTGTACAAGTAGTCCCTCCACTTGACTGTCCTCTTCCTCTTATCATCGTCCACGGGTTCTTGATTCTAGTTCATCATACGTTAAGTATACCTCATATTTTTTCTCATCTCAAGACATCCTCTTCTTTACCTCATGTTATTCTACCACTTATGTTCAGGGTATCAGAACAATGAAACCTACATGAGACTCCCTGCACCTTGTTACTTCAAAATTAATGTTTCCAAAACTTCTTGGAGTGACGCTATTCTCACAGCATGTTATCTCATTAATCGAATGCCATCTTCTGTTTTTAATGGTCAAACCCCTTGGTCTGTTATTTTTCCTCGTGATCCTCCATTTCATTTGCCCCTTTGTATTTTCCGTTGTGTTAGTTATGTTCATCAACTTGCACTGGGTGGTGACAAGGTTGGTCCTCAGGCTATTAAGTTTATTTTCTCGTGTTACTCTCGCACTCAAAAGGGGGGATCGGTGTCATAATTCAGTTTTGCACGGCTTCTTTATCTGTCGGGATGCTTCTTTGCCTAGGGCTTTCTGTATGGACATGGCCTACTAAGCCCGTCCATGTTTTACATTGTAGGGTTTGGGATTATAGTTTTGGCTAATGGGCCGGGTTGGTTAATTTTTTTAGGCCTGATTCTAATGTGGTTGGACTTGGGAAGAGTGGTTTAAGAGCCTGTCCCTGTCTTGTCTGCCCATAAATTATATTATATTATATAATATATAAATTTATATGCATGTTTATGTATTACCAGTCATGTAAAAATTGGGTAGGAAATTGGGTAAGAAATTTGAATCACACCTTGAATATGTTAAAGAGGCACACAAACCGTTAAAGTAATTATATTTTTTAATTTTAAAATATAATAAAAATATTTATATTAAATAGTATCCCGGTCATTTGGGTAGGCTTGGGGACTTCTTATTTTGCTCTTGGACATGCTTGAGAATAAGTATATAGGCCTGATCTCAGGCTGGGCCAGACTTGGAAAGCTACTTTTTTAAGTGTTATTATGTAATATAAGCTAGGCTCATGTGCATCCTAGTATAGCGTAATGTATTTGATCAGATAGTTAATGGCTGCGATCATCAATATGTTAATGGCTGCAATACATAATGTTAGATTTCCCTCCCTCACCTACTGTCTAAAGGTTTGCTGAACAATTAATAAATTTTTCATCTTTCTCCTAGGCTTTGTGATAGTCCTTGAGTTGAATATTACTTCAAGTATTATCTACCTTTAGAATTATAACAGTTTGTCATTATCTACCTAGTTTAGAATTGAACTTTTGAATTTTTGTAGCAAGTGATTTGGTTGTACGAGTTGATTGTTATTTCTGGTTGTCTAATTTTTTCATCTTATGCAAGCCAGTATAATTTTTAAAAGGGGGCAGCTGCACCCATTAACATGCTTTCCGAGCTCTCTTGGCTGGGCACTCTTTATGCTGTTTGCAAATTGAGAATATCCTTGCTGACTAAAAACGTTCAAGATCAAAGGGGTTGTTGAAGTGGAAGCATTACAAGTAAAGAATTGAAAGGCCGGGTAAGACTTGAATATTTGAAGATGTATAGCCCAGTTAGAACAGATGGTGGATAAAGATCTATCCAAGTGATCCTAAATTTGTCCAAAATGTTCCTGAGAGTTTTCAGTTATTGTCAAGTGTTCACTATCTTCTTTTTAACATGCGAGATCATCGCAATTCAATTGCTTGAAATAGACATTTTGTTTTGTTTTACAAAGTTCAGGTATGCAATTGCGTGGCTTTTGCGCTTACCACCTTTTCTGAGATTGACGTCCCAGTTTTTTGGCCCACCTGGGTTGTGACAGAGGTATACTGGGAAGAAGACAATTGGCAACCAAGGAGGCATTACAATTCCGGGCTGTAAGATTTTTCCCTGGAATAGATATTTCATGACAAAACATATTATCTGAAGTTATCGTGTACGAGTCAGATTCAGTTCTGATAAATTTTACCAACTTAGGATTCTGACAACTCTCTATTTGTCTCTGTACTATTATTTTCTTATCTATGTATGTATTTTAATGGCACCCAAATCTTGTAGGGAAATACGCCACCACTTGCTTTCATTTTTAAAGATGAATGGTATTTTAGAGCTGTTTGTCAGCTTGTAACTTCCAAGAGCTGACGCTGTCAGTTCAGGTCATCCTCAATTCTGCATTTTATATACAATTTATGCAGTTGACCACCAATGAGTATATGGTAAATCACACTTTCATTTTGACCAATCAAGGCAAAGCAAAGTTGATGTTTGTGTTTTTTACAAACATCAACTTTGCCTGTTTGATGTTTCTAGTGTATCTTTTTTTCCCTTTCTTTTTCGTTGACCTCTATAAATCAGAGATCCAAATAGCCTTAAAAATCAGCCATTATGCATCTTTGTTGCCCCTATAGCGTGGTTTTAAATAATGGTATTGGGAGACGTTTAAGCATTTATTCGGGCGTAACGGTATTGGAAGTATTAGGTAGTGTAATGGTATTAGAAGTATTAGGCGATACATATTGAGAATTAGGTGTCAGGGTCATCTATTTTTCATATTGAGTAGCTCTCAAAAAACTTTTTTACAGCTATCAAGATTTTGTAGTAGAAGTAAAAAAAGATGAATTTGTTTAATTTAATTCAACATACAGCACTTGAAAGAGTAGAATAACAAAATAGATTTATATAGTTGACCTTATTTGAGTGAGATACAAAAAGCGTAGTTTTGGGAGATCAATTTTATTTCCACACTATTAAAATGTATGAACAAACGCATAATTTGATTGGTTTAAAATTATAGGCTTCACAATTTTAAGTGGGGTTATTACATTTGATGTGTGTGAATTCCTACAATTTTGGTTATAATAGTCAAATAATTCATATTAGTTATGAATCGAGCATATTAATTGCGAATTGCCTTGTGAATTTACAATGAACCAATATAAAGGGGTGTATTAATATTGAAAGGACACAAATTTGACATGTACCAACCGATACAATATGTATCACACCGACAGATATTTAACACCTCGCAAACTTGCCCAAAAATCTAAGTGAAAGGAAATAATGGCTGTTTGTTCTAGAAACTTACTGCAACCTTGAGTTTTAGAGGACTTGGACTGGGTCACAGTCAGAGACACGTTGGAATCTTAAGCATATAATGCCCAATTGGTACAACAACTCTCCAACTACCGAAAATGCAAAATTCACAATTTCATTTTCAATTATATCTGACTTTGTTTACACAAATGCAATAATAATAATTTATGTAGTGGGTTTGGAATTTTGTAACATGGTTTCGTGTGACTAGTTCTTAAAACATGGCCAGCTAAGTTGTTAGTTAGAGACCTTCTTCCCTCTCCTCCTACCATCTCAAACCTGCTTCATAAACACCTCAACACACACAAAAGCAACTCTCGATTGCCTCCCCATATCTCCTCAACAAATGAGTGGCAGAGCTTATGTTGTGATATTATTCTTTTGGGCTGTCCTTACCATCATCACCCCGATGCTCATCCGGTTGTCGGAGTCCGCAAAACCCACCTTGCATTTTAATGGTACAGAGATATATTCACCTTGTTTAGTATAGTTTATTGGAGTTACTTATAATTTTCTTTTAAATTTTATTCTGAAGTCTATTTCAGAGTATTTGGTGTAACTTCTGCTTGTATACCTTGTGGGGCAAAAATAACTTAAACAAGTTGAAGATAAGCTAATTATTGAGAAAAGTTGAGAGATTGTTGCTTTTACCTTCTATTTTCTGATTAAGAGTTTCAAACAGGAAGATTAACTAATAATTATTAATTCTTCCATCAAGCAGTTCTCATGGAAAGTCAATTTTTCATGCATTGCAGGTGAGAGAAGAGAAGGAACAAATGCTGGAATACAGAGATTGTTGCCCAGAAGAGCACTTGTTGTACCTACAGTGCCGCCACAGGCACTGGCTCCACCTCCATCTCCAGCACCAGCACCCGCACCCTCACCCATGTCGAAACAATGGTATAGAATTAAAAAAGCTTATGGAACAATGACACCGGGGATCGAATTGAGTTCAAGTTCGTTCAGAGTGAATGAAATTGCGGCACGACTCAAAAGACTATGACTGCATTTGTTCAAATAGTAATTTTACAAATTTATATTAAAAGCCAGCACTCAATCGGGCTCAATGGGATTGTCTCATCTCTGATGTGGTCAGTCATGATTGTAGATATGTCATTAGTAGGTACAGCAAAAGGATTGGATTAGTACACAATAAATGAACAAGAAAAGAGTTACAACTGAGAATTGGGGTTTTTTGTATAATCATAAAGCGAAAGCAATGGAAAGGAATAACTTATTGATTACCGGAAGATTTTGTTGCGTAAATGTATAATCAATTGTGCTAATCTGTTTTTAATCTCTTATTTTTCTAGTTCTCAAATGCTTGGATTATTATTATTGATCTATTTTCCGTGCAAGTTAGAATAAGAAAATGAGTTTGAAATATAACTGAAAAATTATTTCTGTTAGAAGAAATGAGTAGTGCATTATTGGAGTAAGAGCATCTGATGTGGTAAAAGGTCTGCTATAGCTAAAAAATAGCATGAAGTTGAAAAATGAGTGCGCCAATGATTGGCTAAAAGAGTTGCTAAATTTTATTGCCAGTGGGTGCTCTAATGGTTGGCTAAAATAGTTGAGAAATGTTGCATAATTATGCTCTGTTATTTTCAGATTAATAACAAAAAGCAAAAATCACATTAATTAAAAAAAGAAGAAGAAGAAGAAGAAGTAAATTGGCTTCACCAAAAAATTAAATATATTTATAAAAAAAAATTAAAATTTTAAAAATTACATAATTTATCAACTACCAGTGTCTTAGACCACTAGTCTTAGTTGGTGTCGACATTGATGTCGACACTGTCTCAGTTGGTCGACACTACACTGATATCTTAGTTGATCGACACTACACCGGTATCTTGGTCTTAGTTGGTGTTAACGTTGGTATCTCAGTTGATGTCGACATTGGTGTCAACACTGTCTCAATTGGTGTTGACACTGGTGTCGGCATTGTCTCAGTTTTAGCTGTTAAGAAAAATAAAAAAATCTCACCAAAAAAAAATAATAATAATAATAACAATAATAATATTTTATTATATATAAATTTTATATGATTTGTGAACTGTTCATATGTATGAATATATACATATATATATATATATATATATATCCATTGAAGTTTGGTGTATTGGTGAAAGGGAAAATATGAGAGCTTTTTTGATGACAAAAGTTACTTTGGTGGTGTTTGACAAGGGTTATTTTAGTCTTTTTAGGCCAAAATAGTTAATAAGACAAAATATCACATTAAATCTATAATCATTTCACTTTTTATCTCTCAAACATCACATCTAACTAAAAAAAAATCCAATCATCTCTCCAAACACAAAAATTTTAACCTACTAAAATAGCCAAAAACTAAAATAGTCTACTAAAATAGCAACTTTCCAAACACTCACATTATTGTTTTGTGAGGAAACGGTAATTTTTATTTTTATTTTTATTTTAATGGGCAGTGTGCACAATTCAATGGCTATATTTTACAAGTTCTATAAATTAGTTTACATTGCCAAGTGCAACATCCAACACTAGTGTTCTTCCTTCTATATCCACAGAATAAGTTATGGTAGAGTCTCATCAGGAAGGTAGAAGGGGGAAATCATTCACACCTGAACAAGATATCACATTCTGTAAATCTTGGTTGTCTGTCACCCAAGATCCTATTATAGGTAATTCACAATCAGGGACGACGGATGTAGGATTGAGACTTTGGAAGGCTACTTTATAGTTTGAAAAATTTGGGAGGCTAATTTATATAATTTTTAAATTATCTAAACAAAAATTTAGGGGTGCGAACTCTTATAATTTTAAATTATTTTAAAATTTTTAGTATAATATATGATATTTTTCAAATTTTAGAGGTGCGTCCGCCCCCCTAGATCCATCATTGTTCACAATCACAATAAAATTTTTTAATCGAATTTTCAAAAATTGTGTTCACAGCATGGATGATGGTTACCCGGACTCAAGTTTGTATTTAATCTCGTTGGGACTTGATCCAGCAGCATTGTAACAAATTTTGTGAATTCCTAAATCAAAGATAAAAAATTTACATCCAAGTAGAATGACTGATTCAGTAAAGAGATTGTTGAATTAAATAATAATGGTTAGGAGATCGGTAACTGAAATTAAGAAATGAAATGAAGACAAAGTTGGTTGAGAAAAAAAAATTAAAAATATTGACTTAGCTAGTCATCACCAGAGGCAAAGATACCAAACAATGTGAAAAATCCAAAACCAAATTGTATATATAAATATAAAAATTATTTGTTAATTTATTTTTTAAAACAATAAATAAAATTAATTAAGATTATAATATTAACAAACAAAAGTAAAAACAATATGCTTAAGTTTATCTAATAGATTTTTTATTTTGAAAATGTTTAAAAAATATACCATTGGAAAGGGATCATTGAATAAGTTGATATTAGAAAATATTACTTTTTATAATGACATAAAATAATTTAATAAAAATTATAATAAAATATTTAAATAGAATAAAAATAAATTTCTTACAAAATAAAAGTATCTAAATAAAAAAAGGGTAAGAAGAAAATTTATAATGATATTTTTATTAGATCTGAAAATAATTTTAGATGAACAATAAATTATGACCTGTTACCCTTATTTTTTAATAAAAAAATTAATTTTTATGAACAATCAATTTTAATAGAAAAAATAGCGTTTCCTTCTATTTAGTTTTAGCAAAAGTCACTTTTTAGCTATTTGAGCTAAAAATATTTTGTATTTTAATTTGTTTAATTGGCAATTGAGATTTTTTTTTAAAAATAAAAATAAAAATAAAAAAAGAACCCATATTTGCAACTCTAGCAAGGGCCAAAAATAGTTTCATTTTTTTAAATTTTGTTATTTTGTAATTGACATTAAAAAAAATTAACAAGATCCACGATATTCGGCAAGTGCTAAAAAAGTCTAGATGAATAATAAATTATTACGTGTAACTCCTATTTTTTTATATATATATATTTTATTTATGATAAATACATCCTTCATATAGTTTAAGGAGTAAGAGAGGCCTAAGATAATTTTCCTTCGTACTTAAGATCCCTAGTGTTATTATTTTAGCAGTTTAAATCCTTTATCCCACCTTTATATTGTTTAAGTTATTTCAAAACTTTAAAATTTATTAAGTTTTGATTTACATATCCATTTTTTGTAAAATTTATACTTTTACAATCCTATTGACAAGATCTTTCAAACAAGATCTATGAGTAATATGAAATTTTGAAGAAAAAAATTCATAAAATTTCATTGACTCACTAACTTGGTCATTGAAATTTCACTGACCAATAGAAATTTCACTGACTTATTAACCAACCAAAATTTTACTAATTTAAACTAACTTGGTTATCAAAATTTCATTGATTTAGACAAGCTTGGTCATCGAAATTCACTTGCCAACTGAAATTTCACTAACCTAGGTCAATGAAATTTCACTAACTTGGTTGTCAAAATTTAACTTACCAATTTAAATTTCACTGATGACCAATCGAAATTTCATTGACTTGGATTGATGAGTCATCAAATTTTTATTGATTAATCAAAGTTTCACCACTAACTTGGTCATCAAAATTTTACTAAAAATTTCACTGACTTAAGACAGGTCAGTGAAATTTTGTCATTTTTTTTAAAAAAAATTTGTATTCATTATGGAACTTGTTTCATAGATTTTGATTAAACGATTCAAAAAAAAATTTATAAATTAAAAAAAAAAAGAAACATAGATCTAGATAAAGAATTGTAGAATTTTGAAATTTTTAAATGAGTTAAAAAAAGTTATAGAATTTTTTCATCATGTGTTTTGGAGAACCTAAACTAATAAAGAAAATTGCATTGTAGTTATCTTTCCAAAAAAATATTACTAAGAATCTTAAACTAATACCCCAAACAAAATAAGTTTCATCAACCATCACTTTTAATAGAAAAATAACGTTTATTTCTATTTAATTTTTAGCAAAAGACACTTCTTAACTATTTAAGTCAAAAATATTTTAATTTTTTAATTGAAAATTGGGAAGAAAAAAAAACAAGAAAAACAAAAAAGAATTCAACTGAAAATGTCATTTCATTTTCTTAACTTATTTGTCTTTTGTTAAAAAATAAATAATTTGTACTAAAAAAAAATTACTATTCAAGTCCTTGTGATTTAGAAGGATCTAAATTTTTTTTTTATAAAATTAAAATCAGAAAAGACAAAAAAAATAAAATTAAAACTTTTAATAGAGATTTATAATTTGAACATGTATATTTAAAATAAATTATATTTAGGCCAATAATATTATGACGCGTCATTATTAATTATATAAAACTTTTCAAAAATCTAAAAAAAAAAAAATGAATTAGAAGTTTAAGTCTTAAAGACCCAACAATATTTTGCAATTATTTATTGTAGAAACCCTAATTTTCGTAATTTCTTTTGAAACCCTAACCCTGAGATTATTACAGTTAAGACCTTCAATTTTTACTTTATCGCAAGTTTAATCCTAAAATCGAAGGCATCATTGACAAATCCGTCCCAATTTTGGTAATTCTTTTGATACCCTAACCTTGAGGTTATTACAAGTAAGACCCAGAATTTCACTTCATCACAAATTTAACCCTAAAACAAAAAACGCATCGCTGACAAATCCGCCTCAATTTTTTTAATTTCTTTTGAAATCCTAACCTTTAAGACCCCAAATTTTCACTTTATCGCAAGTTTAACCCTAAAATTGAAAATGTATCACTAACGAATCCGTATAAACTCTAATCGATCCCAGTAACTTAGTAATCATTTCTGACACTCTAATATTAATTATTTAACTCCCTAATTCTAGATTAATCACTATAAACCCCAGTTTTCGGTTTCCATCGGTTTCGTTCAATTATTTACCTTCTAATGCAAAGCAAAGTAACACAAACCAAAATATTTTTTCGTATCAGTGTTTTAATTAATTTTATACTTAAAATAGGTATTCTAATTCATGAATTGAGCCCAGGTGTAGACAACCCATTTTTGACCGCCCGCAAGGCTCGAGCGCTTTTCCCGGTACACTCAATAATGAAAGTGGTGTTGTGTATGGTTCGAGGTCTCAACGAAGGGGCTATGTTTAAGCTCCGAAACAATCCCAAACCTTCCATATTCACATTGTTTGTACCACATAAATCCATTTTTACACATTGTGCCACCATATGCTGAGTTTGAAGTAGAGAGACAAGGGATCACATTGAGGCCCTACCGTGCCTCATT